ACATTGGCGAAACGGGCAGACCCCTCTGTGTTCGCATAAAAGAACACCTAGCCGGCAAAAATAGACCAAATACCCCGCTAGGCACGCATAGGACCCAGAGACATAACGGGGACGACTTCGAAGTATGTGTCACGATCCTCGCACGCGAATCAAGAACACAGGCGCGAAAAACTCTCGAGGCACTCTGGATTAATTCCAGAAATCCGAAAATGAACCGCAGGGAAGAATGCCTCATTATCACGCGTGATATAGGGCAGTATATAAAACTGCTTTTCTGATGTGAGGGGCACATTATGCTTCCACGTGATTTCTGTGCGGTTGGTCTCTACGTGACATACTTAGTGGAAACCTCATAGAAAGCGGTGAGTGTGCAAAGCTGTGTTCAAAGTGATTGAAATCTTGGTTTGGAGTTTCTTTGTTTGGTTATGGAGGCGTCTGGCCGAGTGGATTGCTATCAACTTGACCTTTCCAGGCTCTGAAGAAGGCGAAATCCGCCGAAACGTCAGCTTAATCGTGAACAAAGAATAGTAACACCTCGCGTTTGCTCAACAAAAATACGAAGAAAATCACTTGATCAATGCCGAGGTTAACAGAAAGTCGGTCGTGGCAGTGATTGTGCTGACTTTTCGGCATGAACACTTGGAAAATTCGCAAATTTACACGTCACTCATTAGGAATGATGCATCAGCAACAAGTCAGTTCCACACGAACACCGTGTTCTACAAGTGTCATTCAACAACATTTCTTCCATCCTATTTTTTCTATTGGAGATCTAAAACTGTGCAGTTACCGGCCGTTGACCACCATTCAAATATTTTAGAGTTCCAATTTTTTACAAAGTTAGTGGAAGCACCGAAGAAAATCATGACAACGATGTATCATAATAATGTATCGTTGTATTATTCAATCCAAATATCTACGCCATGATAATCATGTACAATAGAGAATTCCGGTCTTAAAGTTGCTAAATAGCTTATGAAGAGAAGACTTACCGGATATTTTAGCTTTTTAAATGTTCAAAACCGCTTCCGTTTCAAAAGGTGCGTACGCTACCAACAAATCGAGTCAAGAGATAAAAGAAAAAAGTGAAACATAGCGGTATTCTGTACTTGCGCAATACCTCAACGATTTGTGTAGCCGTGTAAACACCATCGATCGCAATAAATCTTTTTCGATCAGGTGTCCGTTTGCATAGGTGCCATCCCTCCAACAACTTATCAATACTCTTAAAACCCCTTTCCTAGATTTTTTTTCCTAACTCTGCGAGATAAAGAACCTTGTGCATACGAAGTGGTACTCCGACGAGCAAAAAATGTCAGTAATGATCTGATCAATTCCACTGAGATGCTCTCCAACGAGACGTTCCACCTTTATCATTATAAGAAAAAGTTGTCATAACAATGATTTTTTTAGGTTGAGACAATTAGTCATCCTTTCTAATCCAGCCACTTCCTAACTCCTTCGTAGGGATGAAAATGAGGTTTTTCGTTTCTACTTTTACTTACTACTGAGAGGAGTACCTGTGTAAGGCTTGCTATTTCTCCTCGCAGAACTAACGTATTCTGTCGGTAGCTCTGGGCAGTGGCAGAGCAGATGAAAGTAAGCATGGTGCTTTTTAAAGGAAACTCGAAACCGTTACTCACGTGCTTCTGCCAGTTGATCACTGGGTTTTCACCGCAGTAGTAGTGGATATCTAGGTATTTACGATCTTATGTCATTTTAGGAAAGCAGAGACAAGGGATCTATAACCCGAATCAACCAGAGTTTTAGCATAAAAACACCGCCAATTTTCAGTCAATGTTTAGCTCAGCTTTCACCTGATGACACACTACGTAGTTTCGTCACCAGTCAGGTTGAGATCCTTCGCAGTCGCATGTAAGTAACGCCAAAACTAACTATTGCAAACACAGCTATTCCTACTATAGCTTTCCCACAGTCCTCTAACGAGGAGAGTTTATGGCACAATTATGCCAAGGAACGGAGAAAAATACAGACTTTAGTGGCTCACGCTAGAAACATTAACGGCATGAAGTGTGATACAGGGATGTCCATGGAGGGATAAGCAGATACAAGTACTGTTTGAGCAAGATAAAAGAATATACAACGCAGATTAGTACTCTAACCATTTACAAATACCACTTATGAAAAACAGAGAACTGACCTGTATAAATCACAAGAAGAGATAAAGTGAGGTAGAATACGTCCGGCCGATCATCAAATTCTACGTGTACTGGGTCATCCATACTTCGGATAGACCCGAAAACAGGCGACACGTCAGTCCAATCATATATGAACGACTGAAAGGTGTTTATTCAGCCATTGTAAAACTTAGCACGCCAATATAAGAAACTGGGCAGAGAAAAATCGGGACCTGTGCTAGTATAATGTTCCGCTGTTAGCTGATTAACAAGAGAGGGATCACTAAAACTTCCCACTATGAAATAGAATTGATAACGGAAAGTTCTACACAAATCTTTTCTGTCCCATAATGCCCGACTCTAAAATTCTCGATGGAGAAAAATCACCTGAAATTCTTCTTTATGAGGTTCCAGATGCGGCAGAAAGAGAAACGAATGGGTGAGAGAGAAACGAATGGGAAATGCGCTGGGATGCGCACAATTCGAGAGACTATAAGGACCAGAAACGAAAGAACATTATTGAAAAGTTAACTCTTTAGATAACGCAGCACCTCCATTTACTGGACGTTCTGAAGAAGAACATAGTTCAAATCAAGCAGGAGATTGTGAACAAAAACTAGCTCTGACCGAGATCTCCGCTTCAAAAAGAAAAACGGTACGTAAGACGTAGAGAAAAGAAACGCATTAAGCTTTGAAATTCAACTAACCATAAGCCCACTGTCATTCAGAGATCGATCCTCCATCCTAGCTACAGCAGCACCGCTCACCCATAACATCACGGTTGGAGTACCAGATATACCGTATCGCGAGTTCAACCTGCACAGGACAAATAAGGCACATAAGGATAAGGTGAGAAAGGATACCGTACGGAGTCGACTTTATAAACGATGTTTTTCGCCGAACGACTATAGAACATAAAAAGTGTGTCGTAAGCTGTAAAGTTGTTGATATCTGTCGATTACTCGTACTAAATTCTAAAGAGTAATCGATGGTGTTTATGTGGAAGTATGGATAAACAATTGGTCTATAGGTAATGAAAAATACTAACTTTGAGAACTCCGTCGCATCTAACGCTATGAACTTGATACTGCCGTTGTACATTTTTGGAAGTGCATTGAAATACGGTGCAATGAGAGCACTGAATGGACAAGTAGGAGCATAGAACAACCTTAAAGGGAGCACTAATAATTGAATGAAAAGATGAAATCGCGAATGCAACCTAAACATCAACAATGAAACAAAGTAAAGAATCAATAGCCATCCACAGCAAGTAGCGAAGAAGGAAGAAATTCATTGAATAAACAACCAAAGGAAAAAAAGGGTTTAAAGGAATAACTGAAAAGACCGACTTTCTATAAACCTCGGTACAAATAATCGATGTATTTATTTATATGTTGTTATGAACTGCCCATGTTGAGCTGATGAAAGGTGAGTATAAGCTGTCGTTATTGTTGTTGTTGTTGTTGTTGTTGTCGCTGTCGTCGTTGTTGGCCGATGGCTGACGTTTCAACGATTTTGCTTTCGACGGAGCCGTGCTATTACGCGTCGGACTCACAAGAACATCAACAACAGCAACAACAACAACGACAGTTTATGCCAACCTCGCATCAGCTGAACAATGGCAGTTCATAAAAAGACGTAAATGGATTTAAAGGAGTTTAATCCAAATTGCAATACAAAAGCCACGTGAGAGAAAAAGAAGGAAGAAAAACCCACGTTACCATGCACCACATCCGTTTGTACGTATCTGTATGCTGCAGTAGGCCCAATAAAGTGCTAGAATTCATAATTTCGACAGTAGAGAGTTTCTCATCATGAGGATCTGGAAATGAACGAAGAATGGTGAAAGCTTTCTAAAGACCCATTGGGATTAATAAACCAAGTTCGATAAACTCACAGACTATTTGACAACGATATTTAAAAGCGACGTGTGGATCCATTATAGGATCGTTACACTTATTGTCATAGTGAAGAGGACATGTGAGCTGCAGATCGTGACTGAAACGGATAACTTTTGTTCACTTTTTTCCATCCTGAAAAAAAACCTACTACTAGATATAAGCCTTTAATAAAGAGATAAAAGACAAAGCTCTGGGCGTTCATTAATCACTGAGGAATACGCCGTGCATTCGACTTCATTAAACATCGTTGGAGGTGAATGAATCCATATCTGCTCTACACAATGATTGAGCACGGTGGCCTACCAATGCATCGAGTCAGTGGTGCTATCCTCCCAGATAAGGCTGATATCAATTTGCCGAACCCGGAGGGATGAAGTGCTTGGTGAGCCTAGAGAGCGGGGATCTATCCCATGTGTATTGCAGGGCACCTCTGACCACTGCGCCACACGCGTCTCTGATATAAGGCATTGAACAGAATGAATAACATACCACATTCTTGATCCAAAAGACCGTAAGGAAAAACAGAATTCACGATAGCCAAGGAAAGTGCTCATCTACGCAAAATTTACCAGTGATATAGAGTAAAAAACAAAGGAACGATTCGAATAATCTGGAACAAAAACTCCCCTTCTATGCCACCAGTGGCGAATTAAACTGAATCCACGCTTCTATTCGCTTAGCATTACTACTGCAAACCTTCGGGACGAGGACTGTGTAGCGATTAGTGATGTCATCGATCAAGAAGCAAAGACGCAAGTTCGATCCCCGCTCTAACGTAAATACAAAAGCTACACACCTTCACTTTGAGTGGATTTACAACACGAACAATCCATTGAACTATTCGATTCACTCTTCTGATGGTAGAAAATAAAAGAATTTTGAAGCATTCTAAATATAAACTTGCTGCCTTTCAAAAAGAAAAGCAGTGTTTCCCACTTGGTGATTTGACTAGCAACAAACTAGCACATAAAGCGATTGCTAAACAGTTATATTTACTAACAACCCACTGTAATATCTCCTTAGAGTTATATCGATGACAATTATTCCTCCAGGACCTTTCTGAAGACGTCAAAGCCTCTTCACCGATTACGATGTTAGCGATAAAGGGTAAGATCACCCACATCTGAAAATGATGAACGTACTTCCGAAAACAGAAGATAAACACACTGCAAAGCACAGAGCAGAAATATTCTAGAAAACGTAGAAAAACAACCGACAAGGCTGCTATGTGGAGGTTTCAAAGCCAAAAAAAAAAGGAATCTTCACCTCATCGCAAACGAAAAGACCGTCAGAACAAAATTCGAGCGGAAGATGTGAAAACACACTCATTGTTAATAGAAAATATGGTCCAAGGCTACTTATACAATAGTTACGCTGTAAATAAAAATACAAAAGCAGAAGTGGAGTAAGATGAGATTTGTACTATTCTACGAGAATGGAAGAACACTAATATACAAAAATCCAGTAATTTAAACAAATACAAGTTACTTAATGACACCTCTACCATTTGTACCTTGGTTAAGAGTTGAGTAACTTGAATGGATACCCATCCCAACGGTTTACCGCCTCATCTTGGCTGGGAGGTGTTCCTGTGTGTCGGACTGCGATGTACAGCGGGAGGATTCGTCCCCCCGATAGGGTTTCCCTAAGCTGAGAAGGAGTTCAGCGTTTTCATCAAGAAGCCTAGCTACGAGGAAACTAATACCAGGACTGACCACCGTCCTGGTATCAAACTTGCCGCATGGTGGCAAATTTCCCCCTGATCCACAAAGGCGGCGACTGCCTATGGTGGTGACGACCTGGGGCAAACTTTGGCCAGGTTGACCTTAGAACTCCAGTGAACCACAATGGCTTAACCAACAAAACTCCGAAAAATGATGATTGTGCTGGGGACCCCACAGCCGCTGAGGATAGGCGGCGCAAGAATCCAAGAAAAAATGGATACCAGTAAATCTTCGGATCGGTCCAGGTTGTGTGTCTGACGTGCTCTGTGGCCTCTCCTTGCTCGGCGGACACGAGCAGCACCACACTTTCCTCTGGAGGCGCTTTATTTTAACCTCTTTCCGGAAAATGCAGTCGTAGGTTTCTCATCAAACCCTAAAGTAGCATAGATTCCCTTTTGACTGAGCTAAACTCCCGAATGGGAGTGTCAAACGTGTTCTGTTCGCCTAACGTTCTTGGGGGAGTAGACGTTTGGACATCGATAAGCCCTACGCAGGACTGGGTAGTAAAAACCCACTAGGGTGAAAATCAGTGTAGTAATCGTAAAGGATTGCTAACTTCTTAGCTGGTAGTACACTTGTTTTCAGGACGTTTAACTAAAATGGGCAGCAACTAGTTGTGAAATATTGTACGATTAGTATGTTGCCAACACTTACCAGTGTCTACTTCCATTAAACACACACTCTATGCATAAGAGACTTAGCACTATAGGAAATCTGCTTCTTCTTTAGCTCTTAGATTAGTCCTACATGGAGTTCCTGTGTTTCGTTAACATTCTGCTGATGGCTACTGTCAACTGTACCAGTAGTCCGAAGACCCAAAGCACGTGGATAGGCTTTTCGGCACAGTATTATATCATAATGTACAGAAAAGTACAAATTTGCTGTGTGTATGTCGTTTCTTAGTGATTGTCGTTGTCGTTCTAACGTGGTCACAGAAGCCGACAGAACCCATTTCAAATGTTCTGTTATGTTATTTTAGTTAGCTCTGTTATTACAGTAGAGTGCCGACTTTCATTGAACCTCGGCCTGGACAATCAGTGTCTTGCTTTTATTAAGCTTATCGATAGAGCAAGTCAGTTGTGTTATAATCCGATCCAGTGCTGCCGCTGGTAATGCTATAGTGTCTTAGATGTTGAAGGAGCCCACCAGTATATGAACTAAATGCTTTTCCCGTGTGAATGAAGACACTGTGGCTGACCAATTGTTAAGTGTTAAACTTGGCGCTTCTTGATCACCCGAATTTAATGATGTTACCGTGGGTGAAGATCTCTGAACTAATTAACATGTTACAAGAGAGAGATGGTCCACTGAGGAAGACCGGGCTCGATGCTCGAAGACGCCATCTCGAGAACACTAGAAACTGTCTACTCCGATCACCGGCTCTGAGAAAAACGAAGACGTCGAAACGTTAGCCAAATAAGGCTGATTTATCAACCTCATATGAGCTGAACAACTCAAACACATATTGGTTAGTTATACCGATGTTGAAAGGAAGTCGGTTTTGACATATTCCTGGACTATTCTCGTGACTATTCTAGCTCTACGTCATCCTTACCTGAACAGTCTCTCGTATACATTACAATGGTACTTATTTGGGAAGGTCATCATTATCTTTACACCACATACTAGAAGCAGAACGATATCCTTGTTACCTTGAAGTCAGCATAATATTTTAAGGCCTTCGTTAAGGAAATGATAAAAAGTCATTCTAAGATTATACAGATAGAGAACTGCATGGCGTTATTTAAATGGTTAGAAAAATTCGGGTCTATATTTTGACTAGACATTTGAAGGTACCAGCACGAGCTTCAGCAATGTTCTCCCGGAATTTGCTCGTTCGTATACCGCATTTGATGACAGGTGAGCTCGATACTCAAAGATACTTTTCGTTGTGAGTGAAAAGTTTTGGCTGTAGAGAATACACGACTGTACAACAGTACTCGAGAATCTTTGAAGATCAACAAAGACACGAAGGTAATCGTTCAGGGTCTCACTGGGAAACAGGTATTTTCTGGGATATTTTTGTGTTATTTATACAGTGGTAGTCGTTATACCTTCCATATTTTGCCAAGTATTTAGGGTTCTTTTCATGGAAAGCAAATGCTCGATTATGGTACGAAGGTTGTAGGAGGTGTTAACCACAAAAAAGCTGGCGGCACACACATGGGTCTGCCGATTTTCCGTGATGTTAAAGAAGCAAGTGGCACTGTTCATCTGTAAAAGCTGTTCAAGAGTTTAATGATGCTGAGATATTTGCAAAACTCCGGACCGCAGCCATCAGCAGCCACCCGCCAGCGAGATTGGCAAAAGATCGATAGAACTAGCTGAGGCAGGCGAAACGAAGGACCCGCATGGTGTGGTGGTGAACGCGTTACTCTCCGGAAAGGACAATAGCGTGTTCGTTTCCCACCGCAGACATCTGCGGTCCGGAGTTTTGAAAATATCTCAGCATTATTAAAATTATTTTTCGCAGTGTATACCCTGCTGTTAAAAAGAGTAGGCAATAGATAATAAGTTAAAACTGTTCAAGAGTTCTCTAAGAGAAGCCGTTTTGGCATTTACTGCGTACTAACTTACTTCATAGGCCTAAAAGTGAATTGATTGCGGGTGATAGCTGGTAGCAGCTATGGGGCAATAACACGACTGAGAGAAAGACTAAACGAAGGAGTCCGTGGTGATGAGCGTGTTAGCCCCTGGAAGGGTTAATATCGTGTTCGATCCCCACCGCAGGCACCAGCGGTCCGGAGTTTTGCAAATATCTCAGCATCATTGTCGTCATATTTCGTATAATACTTTGGCACTAAAAAAGAATAGACAGTAAGTAAAAAGTGATGAAATGGATTGCTTTCAGGTACATATGAGCTCAAGACCACATCGTAGACTTTTTTTTCAATACCTGTTGAAGACTCTCTGAAAGTATGAAGTATTAGAGTGGCTGACTAGAATTCTATATATGTGGTTGCTCCTTGAACCCAAACTGCAATCGTCTTATCTTGTAGTGAATTAATCGTTAAGATAAAATCATATAAACCTACATGTTTTTGTTGAATTGAAGGGACTTCATATATTCTAGAAATGTTAAAATCCTAGCATTATGGAAGTTGATGCTCCTGAAGGAAGTTTGCAAGTTCAGAGACGTTAACCGTTTCAAAGGTTAAATTTCCAAACCATAAAAGATTTCATCGGCAACCTTTTAATATGTGGAATACGGAAACCCGAGACAGTACAAAAATAGTCTGAAGCCTGAATGTGTGGTTTCATCATGAATTTTTGTGGAACCATGAGCTCTTAAGGTTCAAGTTTTTCAGATTTTCAAGAACTATACACTCAGCTTCCCAATGGGGAACCCTAAAACTGTTACTACAGTGGTCTTCTTAAGGCACGTGAGAAGACCGGAGCCGATGCGTCCGTCATCTACGTGCCTGCTCCATTTGCTGCTAGTGCCATCAACGAGGCGATTGATGCAGAAATTCCACTTGTCGTATGTATTACCGAAGGAATCCCACAACAAGTATGACAATTTTATTAGCTTGTAACTCTTTTCGTTATCAAAAACGACCCGCGTACACCCGCTGGAACCCACTTGTTTTTCTGTAGAAGACTAACAATATACGAAGTCGCATGTGTGTTGCTCGGCACCTAGTGCCAGGAGTTTACTATCCGATAGACACACCCACCATATGTTTAGGATATGGTCCGCGTCAAGAACCGCCTTCTCAAACAGAACAAAACTCGTCTTGTGGGCCCAAATTGCCCTGGTATCATTGCAGCAGAGGAGTGTAAAATAGGCATCATGCCGGGTCAAATTCATAAAAAGGTATATTTCGATTAATTTCTCTGCCAATCGAGTAATCGCTTTGTTTCCTTTATTAGGGAATCATCGGCGTTGTATCACGATCAGGAACTCTCACTTATGAAGCTGTGCATCAAACCACGACCGTTGGCCTCGGCCAAACGCTCTGCGTCGGAATCGGTGGTGACCCTTTTAATGGAAGCAATTTTATTGACTGTCTTAGCGTTTTTCTCGAGGATCGTCAGACGAAAGGTGAGGTAAAGTTTTGTTACCCCTAACTTTAGCTTTCAATCGTGTGTTACATATCTGTGTGTTATCTAAAGATGTTGCCCATTCTGAATTGGTCAGCTTGAATAAGGAACATTTATGCCTGCCGATTATGGATTTTTCATTTTTTGAAAAATCTAGGAGTTATTGAGATACTTCTTATTTGTTAATGTTAGCTATTGTGGTTAGATTATCATAAGCTCAGTAATTCTTCTTGGTCCGAGTGTTCGAACAGTTTGATAACACTGATATGACTTGCTGAGAAGCATAAGTTATGCGTGATACCCGAGATTGGGTTTTCGACAACTGACAATGATTTCTCGATAAATAGAGTACTTGGGAAGTTAGGAACTACACACATTTATAGAAGAGATTTTGCCCTGTTCTTCTATATGTGTGCACGATTTTCTTACTGTATTCTTTCAATTCCTCCTAACGGTTTACCCCCTCGTCGTGGCTGGTAGGTTTTACTGGGTGTCGGACTACGATGTACAGCGGGGATTCGTATCCCTGGTAGGGTCTCCCAAGCTGAGGAGGAGTCTGACGTTTCCATCAGGAAGCCTAGCTAAGAGTAAAGAAGTTCCATCACCGTCCTGGTATCAAAGTCGCATGGTGGCAAATCTCCCTCTGATCCACAAGGGCTGCGACTGTCTATCGTGGTTACGACCTGGGACAGACTTTGGCTAGACTGTCCTCAGCATTCCAGAGAACAGTTGCTTAGTCAGCAAATCTCCGAAAAATGGTGATTATACTGGGGTTCGCACAAGCAGTGAGGACGGGCAGTTCAAGTATCAAGTAAGTAAGGATTCTTTCATTTCTAAACATGTCTAGATTTAAGATCTTTGAACAATTAAGAACGAAGATAGAACTTTTCAAATCTCGAACGCAAACGCAGCGGTGGCAAACACCAACAATGTATTGGAGAGCACCGTCATGTTGCGCTGGATGAAATTTCGCTTGCTCGGCTCTTTTAGTGTGCGAATTACAAACTCTGACGAGAAAAAGAGGAAAAGATAGGTGCGGTATTTTACAAAGAAGTATCTGCACATTTGTATTTATACAAATACAAAGGCATGCGTAGCGCAGTGGTTAGAGGTGCCCTGCAATACACATGGGATCGATCCCGCGCTTCAGGCTCACCAAGCCCTTCATCCCTCCGGGCTCGGCAGATGGGTACCGCATTTGTCTAGGAAGATAGCAGCACAAACTCGATACATCGGTAACCACGAGTCATTTTATAGTTCGGATGTGCATTCAGTCGCCTCTATCGATGTTTAATGAAGTCGAATGCATGGCGCATCCCTCGGGGGTTGATCAACGCCGAGAACTTTATTCTTTAACTGTACATTGTAATGATTTCTCTTCCAACTTGTAGATTTAAATATGAGCTGAGAAATACTGGCTCAAAATTGAGAGCGCCCATTAGTTTCAGTGTAAACGCCTTGTACTCAGCTAGCAAACATTCTACTAGACTTCTTCTTGTTTCGTTGGAACTTATGAGTTTAAATGAGACTATTTTTGAACGTTTATTAAAATCATGGTTTGCTATTTAATACAAAAAGAGCGTAGATCACTCTTTTGTATTGTTTCTTATTTACACAACGAGATGTAGTCTTTGCAAATATCATAGCGCTGTTCTCATGTTTCTTTCATTCAGGAATCATTCTTATTGGTGAAATTGGTGGATCAGCTGAAGAGGAAGCTGCCAAATTTTTAATGGAGAATAATAGAGTCAGTCTGTTCGACCGGTTTCTACACGGTTCTTTCTACTTCTCTGTAATTAAAGATATATATCGATAGTACTTAAGTGCACTACTGTGTACTCTTTTACAACATGTTTGTGAAGAGTGGCGTTTAATGTTTCTATGGGAAATCGTTCTTTCTATATTGTATCCATGCCACAGATTACTTTTGTTTGACTCGTTTATTTTTTTCGCCTTTTAGACCTGTCGTCCAATTTTTGTAGGGAGAACACATGAAACCCGTCGCATCATTTATAGCCGGTGTAACAGCTCCACCAGGAAGACGAATGGGTCATGCTGGTGCTATAATTAGCCATGGAAGAGGCACTGCAACCCATAAGATTGAAGCGCTCAGAGAAGCAGGTGTACTTGTAAGTTTGCTTTTTAAACTTCGTGAACATCTTGCGTAGAAAAAGTTAATGGTGAATTTTGACCATTTTATTTTGATCCCGAATTGGTTAAGTGTACTCGAAAAAGTAGATTATTATGCACTACTTTGAAAAAAAAGTTTCTTGCAACAAAGCAGTTTTGTCAATTTGTCAGGGTGTTTTTAATTACAGGTAACAGATTCACCATCAGCACTAGGAACTACCATTGCCAAAGCACTGCTGGATAAAGTTGCTCACATGGAGGAATAGTTAAGCCTTAGATTTTTTGCCACTTACGAATCAGTTGGTCGGTATGTACACTAGTCTTAGTTGTACTCTTCTTTTCCGTTTTAATCTTGGCGCGAATTTCCATCAAGTTCCGAATTCTAATATTCAGGTCATATATTTTTTCTACGTTGCTTAATTAACCGTTTATGTTGCAAACAGGTTTTTTCATGTTGCATTAATGGAGATCAAGTCAGAAGAAGCGTAGTGATAATCTATCAAGTGATTTAAGCCGATCAAAGCCTAACTGTTTAAGGTTAACATTCGATAAGCGGTTTTAGCAGTTTCTCACAGTGTTAGGTACTAAATTAATAAACTTACATTGGTGACGTGATTGCACAAGCATTCTTTGGAAAAGCAAAGATAATCTTTGTAAATCGTGAAGTTTGGCCATTTCGAAGAGAACAGCTTGGTGTTCAAGGAAATTGGAAATCCATCAAATATAAATTGAAACAAAGAAGTGTTGAATATTGGATCAGAAAAGAGTATAATTGAGTAAGATTCCGTACCTTATACCTCCAACTAGTTTTAGTCTGTTTTATGTCCTGTTAATCTCGTCGAGCTTCCAGCTTCCACAAGTTTGTAGTATGCTTAACAATTTGAGCAGGATTGAAACATGCGGGCGAATGTTTCACTAGAGACGACATTATTTACATAACCTGTAGTCCGGGTAATCACCGAGAACTTCAAGAGATTGTCTCTTGAGGCCAGGTTGTCTTGTCTTCAGGATAAGAGGCTAAAGAATTCTAGAAGAAAGTCAGATTATAACGAAGGCGATCGAAGTGTAGAATGAGGATCATCAGCGACTGAAGGATGGAATAGCAACTATTTTGATGCCAGAAAAAGAACTTCTATGTGAACATGTCCGAGGTTTCACATGGAATAGTTTATCAGTAGAAATTATTAATCAACAAAACATTAGTAGCTCGTAAAAAAACATAAAGGTAATAAGAACAATAGGAAGCGAACATTCACCGGAAGCAAATCGCATCAGATTTCTCATTGGAGTGCCACATTAAATATTCAGTTGTGAGATTTCCACGACAGTTTGACGCATTGGATCATGTCAACACTTGTAGAACACGTTCAGATAACCCAACGAGTTTCGTTTAGCGAATAAAGTGGTGGTGGTGGTGGTGGTGCAAAGCATCGTACGTTAAAAGTGAATTACTGACCGTAAGACTAATTTATAAGAAGACGTCATCGATTCCATAGCCGTTTATAGCACAGCGGGTGCTTTGAATGTTTAAGTTGTCGGTGAGTCTATCCTGCATCTCCAGCTAATCACGACAAGTAACTTTCTGGAGTTAGAAACTCCATACTTTCGAGCCAGTTTACCAGATTCGACTTGATGTGACCACGAAGACCCATATCGCGAGTGTGACGTACTGTAAATGATCGGCTCAAATCATTGTGGCTCTGAAGAAAACGAAGAACTGAGGCGTTAGCCGAGTAAACTTTTATTAACAGCGTCGTGAATACAAATATAGAAAAGTAATAGGTTGATACATCGGTGGTGGTAAGCCATTCCTCATGGCAAGCGTTGATCCAATTACCTCTACGGCGCTCCGAATGGAGTGGAATGCACGGCGCATCACTGGGGATTGTGCCCGACGTTGATCGCCTCATCCTCTATTCTTTGTGAAACTCAGTTATTTTCATGGAAAGTAAACAGCTTATTCTCTGTCTACCATGATGAGCTTCAACCAACCATCCATCAATTTGTGTCTGAATCAGTAAGTAAATATGAGGAACGAAACGGTTGAATAGTTTAGTAGTAGCGGATGACTTTGGGAGAATATTGTAGCACGGTGAAAGTGCTAAAGAATACAAATGATACCTAGTTGTAATGCTACATCTTCAATGCTGTGCTTTTCTAAAATCTTATCTACCATCAAGATCCTCTCAGAATCGCCAGGTTATTCAAAATCAGGCAGGCAGGCCATGTACTGGAACGATAAGCCGTTCGCCGCGAGCGGCAATGGGTAAGCTGGTTGAGATGTAAGGCACACAACAGAAAACTGTCACGTTTTTTGCAATGGTCCGGAAGTAAATATATGTTGCTGTTCGGTAAGCATAATCCACGGCTCAAGTGTCGAACGTTTCAGAAATAAGAGAAGACGTTAACAGAGCCTACTTAATTCACTAGATGCTACAAGGAGCAGAATTGACAAAGCGGGTTGCTTCTGTTAGTAATTTCACAAAGTCGGTTCGGGTTAATTGATTGTTCTTTTAGACTAAAGCGATTCTTTGCTCACGCGTCTTTTGTTTATGGGTCGAGAAGAAAAAAGACATTCAATCTAGTAATGTTCGTATTTTTGAATGTTATAGCGTTTTCCACAAATTATCACAATAATCTATCATGTTTTTCATCGGTAATGGCAATGGGAACGTTAGCAACATCCCATGAATCGACAATGGTTTTAAATGATAGAAAAGAAAATGGGAAAACGGAGAGGCCTGGTATTATGGAGAACCTTGATGGACAGTGAACGCATATAAACCAGGAATGACATGAAAAAAAAAAACGAACTAATTGTCCCTCTTCCTTGCTATCTTTGCCCCTCCTGTCTTTCTGGCTCGTTTATCTTCTGACGCACCCATTCAACGAATCGGCGTGTTCGAAGGTGGGTTTTACGATGGACAGCGACACTTGATAGAGTAAGCTCAAATGGTTTCCTTCTTTGCTGTGTCTGCTCAAATGTATCATATAAATAAAATCAAGATAAATCCGTTTCTTCTATCGAAATTACTACTCCAAGTGATAATGTTCCAAATGACTTGAAATATATTTATTTTTGCTGAAAATGAGTCCCATTTCTTTGTTCTCATATATTTCGAGAATGAACTTCTTTTCTTTTTTTTCAAAATACGCATAACGAAGGTTGGTTGTTTGTTTCGTTCTGTTCAGCGATGTTATGATGGGACTGTTGAAGGTGGCCGTGCATTCGAGCTTAAGAACAGAAAATGGGAGTGGGTGCATACGACGCGGCGCGCGGACTACCAAAGATTTTCTGTTCTTAGTAGTGAAGATTTATTCAAAAGAAGGTTTTCCTTATTGCTATATCTATTTGTACATGAGTGTGTGCAGTGGTCGGAGTCGCCTTGCAATGCCCATGGGATCGATCTTCGCGCCCTAAGCTTACCAAGCCTTCCGTGTCTCCGGGTTCGGCAAATTGGTATCAGACTTGTCTGGGAGGATAGCAGCACTGGCCCGATACATCGGTAGGCCACCGTGAGTCATTGTAAAAGCCGGATATGCACTCAATCACCTCCCACTATGCTAATGGCGCATCCTTCAAGGAAAGATCAACGCTGAGAGCTTTATCCTTCATTTATCCTGATTTATCCATCCATGATTTGACTTCTATTCTATTCATTTGCCCGCGTCGACGAAGGTCTTCGTGCTTCTTCACGTGAGAGTTTGGCTGCTGCTTAAGAGTTCTTCGTGTCCGTTATGATTGTGGTTGAATGATGATCAGTCGGAATCCTGAGATGGTCATGCCAAAGCATCTCCATGTGGATTAGAGGAAATGAGCTTATTCTAGGCAACTCTGGTATAAATTCCCATGACCGACTTTCTACTAACCTCGGCAATGATGGAATAGTTCTCGATATTCATGTTGAGCAAGCGCGAGGTGTTACTTTATTCTTCATTCCATGAAAGCTAACGTCTCGGCAGTATCGCTTTCTTCAGAGCCTGGTAGGATATACTGATAGGCAACTCACTACGTCAAATACTCCAATGACACATATAAAAAGATGAAAATCTAAATCGCAATTACATGATCAGCTGCTTCTCGAAAAACCCACCGTTTATTACGTGCTTTCCACTGAGGAAGTACTTCTGGTCAGAGTCGCATATGGTCGATGAATGTACCACCCCACATCAAAAGTCGATGTTAAGGTACGGCACGAAATCACGTGTGATCTCCGGGAATTCCTCTCTGTTATTCTAGTGTTCCTGGTATTTATCCAAAAAGCCTCAAGAGGTTTGCGCGTTGGTGTTTTGGCATCCTGTGCGAGGACAGTGACTTTTATATCAAAACCGTCTCCGCTATGCTTTTGTGTCCTATGCGTCTCTATTGGCGTGTCTTGTCTTGCTTTTTGTTTGTCATCTAGGTGTTCTTTTATGCGGATACATAAAGGTCTGCCCGTTTCGCCAATATATTCGTCTCCGCAAGTATTACAAGAGTTCGGGTATATCGTACCTGAACTCATGCACTTACCGTTCCTGCCATAGGGGCAAACTACGCAGCTTTGTGTTTCCCATAGACGGTCATATAGGCGGTTAGGAACCAACAGACGACCAAGAGTATCCGGTGGTATTTCACCTATCGCTACCGATTCTTCTAGACCTACCCTTCTAAGCGGGGTTTTGTTTTGGCCACGTTTTTCGTTTTAGGGTGTCGCTCTCCTTCTAAACTTATCTTGTGGGGTTACTATTTCGTAGCCATTGAAGGTGGCTGTTTGCCGAACCAAGTTACGCGATTCCTTTCTTAGTTCCCTCTTCCTGCACGCAGAGGTGGTTGTTCGGATCATATTTCTAACAAGCGTCCTCTTTGTGTTTGAAGGTTGACAACAGAGGCAATGAACGAGGACGTTCTTGTTACATGGTTTTCGGTCATGTAACCGCTATCTGATAAGTTGATTTGAACGTTGAAAAATGGAGGCCACTTTCCTTTTGGTTTCTCCCGGATAAATTTGATGTACTCAGACTGCTCATTCAGCAATTCAAAGCATTTGTCCATCTCCTCCTAAGTAGAGGAGATGACAAAACAGTCATCTATGTCTACAGTAGAGTACTTGCCGGAAATCAATAACGGGGCTTCTATTTTAGACATAAGCGCAATGGCGAGACTTGGCACCAGTCGCCGTCCCATTTGCCAGCCTTCTCATTTGCGCGTAGTATTTTCCAGACCACTTGAAAATCGAGCAGTTCAAGCACTCTTTTAAGAGAATCATAAGCTGCTGAATAGACAAGCCATGCATATTTATTCCTCCTTCTTGTTCAAAAAGAAGTTCGTGGATGGTTTGCATTGCGGAGTCATCCGATACGTTGGTGTAAAGCGCGAAAACGTCGAAGGACTCCATCACACACGCGTTGTTAGGTGACGTGTTACGTAGACGTTCTAGGAACAGTTGGCTCTTCTGGAGTGAGTTGAGCTGGAATATGGTTAAGCAGCTGGGTAAGTATTTGGCCTAGAAACCATGTTATTCTATCCGTTGGCCCGTCTACACCACTGATAATGGGTCTAACTTTGTCGAATGATGGATTGGTAGACGCAGGATCATGAGTTGATACTAACTTATGCGTTTTCATAAGTACAAGACTGGGTATGTTGGCCTGTCCATCTTACAGTGCGAAATGACGGGTGATTTTATGCCTGCCGTCTTTCCCACTTTGACCCATTAACTGTTTAGCTTTCGGTATTGACTTTTGTATTCCTTTTCAGAAGATGGGCAAAAAACGGTAACATCACTAAGATGTTGCTCCGTTATCTTAACATCTAACTGGCGAGTAATATCTACGTACTCTCCCCTCTTATCGCTAACTGTTAGTCTAGTGGTCTTTGGATTTACTAATTCTCTAATTTCTCACATACCACATTTTTATGCTGTTCTGAGGTTAGAGTTAAGCTTTCTACCGCGATAGTGATTAAGTGTTTTGAAAACATCGTCCGAAAACATGCGGAATTTTGAATCGTAACACCTTGTGTTTGCTCAACAGGAATATTGAGAACGATCTGGTATAAATCTCCCGATTCCCGAGGGATGAGAGACTTGAGGGACTCAGGGTGAGGTCGAACAGTGTCTGGGTAATTCGCTGTTTTTCTTCAACAAGCAGTCACGAGGTTGGTATTATAAAATTCGTTAGCATATAATAGGTGACTTTTCGGCGGTTTCGCCTTCTTCAAAGCCGTTTATTCGTTAAAAGTATTCCAATTAGTTGGTCGGGAGCAGCCGCACAGAGTAATACATGGTCGAGAACTGTGCCTCAGCATATTTATTTATGTGATCTTATAAACTGATCTTCTTAAGCTGACGCGACGTTGGTACAGGTCTTCGTTGTCGTTGTCGTTGTTTTTGTTGTTCTTGATCGATAGCTGACGTTTCGGCGATTTCGCCTTCCTCAGAGCCTAGACGTATTTTATATTAGAATATTTTTATTCTTCGGTGGAAAAGAAAGGTTAAAGTGTTAATGAAGATCGAACTTTCAAATAGACGCCATATTGAACAGAAAGGCCACTCACCGTGATGTTACGTGCAGGACTGGCTCACACGTAGTTCACGTGGAGTCGCGAGCAAGACACACCCCGGGGTCAAAATATCATTTTGAAATAGGGCGCCAGGTCACGTGTGATAGTAAAGCATTCGTCTTTCCGGTTCACCTTTGGATTTTTGAAATTTATCCAAAACGCCTCAAGAGTTTTGCGCGTTGATGTTTTCGATTCCTGTGCTAGGATCCGCACAGTCACTTCAAAATCATCGCCGTTGTGCCTTTGTGCCCTATGCGTACCTAGAGGAGTGTTTAGACGGATTTTAGCTTTTCCATCTAGATGTTCATTTATGCGGACACAAAGTGGTTTACCCGTTTCCCCAATATATTCCTCACCGCATGCGTTACATGAGATCAAGTATATTATACCTAAACTCATGCAATCGCGTGGGCCAGTCCCGCACATAACATCACGGTGAGTGGGCTTTCTGTTCAATATGGCGTCTATTTGAAAGTTTGATCTTCATTAACACTTTAACCTTTCTTTTCCACCGAATAATAAAAATATTCTAATATAAAATACGTCCACACTCTGAGGAAGGCGAAGTCGCCGAAACGTCAGCCATCGATCAATAACTTCAAAAACAACGACAACGACAACGAAGGCCTGTACCAACCTCGCGTCAGTTTAAGATCAGTTTATAAGATCACATAAATAAATATATCAACTGTCTATGCCGAGGTTTATAGAAAGTCGGTCTTTCGAGTTATTAAGAGATGTGCCTCGGTAGATTGAACCGTCCACGGAATGAACAGACCACTACCACTGCGCTACCCACTCCTTGAAAGGTAAAGGAAAAAATTTTTGAATACCACGGTCTTTATGTATAGAGAATGGTCTCTATCACAGAGGGAATCATCGCTTTTTATTTAACGAAGTCACAATTGTGCTTTTCTCACACTATCTGTAGAAGGTTTCTGTCTCCTACGTATAATGTAAACAACCATTAATCGTAATGTTTCCTTGTCTATTGCAAGGAGGGTTTTGCTGCGAAAAGTTTTTGGTTCGAACTACAGTACCTCTATGACTCACGGAACGATTAGTAGTCCAAAGGAAGAGAAGGATGAACTGCGAGGGAACCACCCCATACATGATGATGGGCTGCATAACAGCAGCAAGCGCCGGTTGTTTTTTTCACTAGAGTAGAAGAACAACCGGAATCTACTTCCAATTCCATAAAGGAAGCCAATCAGTATATTCTCTAAAATGCACGGTTCTTCTACGAAAGTTGCTGTCAACTTCTCTTAAAAGCCGACTTTCATGCGTTTCGGTAACAATAGTCAATAATTCTCTACATGGTTGAGCTAACACGAGGTTGGTACAAAATCTTTATTCAGCTAACTTTTCCGCTCCTTCGTCTTCCTGTAGAGAATCATGTGGAGCATTATTGATTATTGTCACTGAGGTTCAACTGAAGTGGTTTTTCAAGATATTGATTGCCACATATCGTGCCAGCAAATGAATTACCGACTGCTACGGGACCCACTGCCCTTCTAAAGTAGATCGTATTGGAAGCGGCAATCGATCAACACCTATCCTGTATAAAGGAGCACCGCTCAGTGAAGTTAACCTTTCAAGCGGCGCTCTGTCCACTGAGTCGGCCGTGATGCCACAACGACCATTTGTGGACCGTCGACTCGGATCAACGTGGCTCTGATGAAAGCGAAGGCGCAGAAACGTTTTCCCAATAGAAGTTTTATACGAATCTCGTGTTAGTTCCCAGGATTGACTTTCTCTTAACCTCGGCACTGGAATATGAATGTGTCGTTTTCTTGTTCAGCAATCGCGAGGTTTTTAAACAGCATACATTTACTTCCATAGAAAAACACAATACAATACAACGCTAGCTGACGTTTCGGCAGTATCGCCTTCTTCAGAGCCTGGAAGGGTATGCTGATATACAATCTACTAGGCCAAACGCTTCAATAACACTTACACAAAGACGAAAGACTCTTTGGTAATTACACGATCAACAACTTCTCGAAAAACCCACCGCTTTTTCGTGACTTCCAATGAGGAAGTTTAGAACAGCTGATTATAGTCGCATGTGGTTGACGACTGCACTATCCCACATCAAAAACCGATGCGAACGTACGGGATTAGGTCGCGTATGACCTCCGGGCATTCGTCCCTGCTATTGGTTTAGATCTTGGTTTAGAGTTTCTTTGTTTGGTTATGGAGGCGTCCGGCCGGGTAGATTGCTGTCAACTTGAACTTTCCAGGCTCTGAGGAAGGCGAAATCCGCCGAAACGTCAGCTTATTCGTGAATAAAGAACCCTTGAAGTAGGCACGGCGCAACAGTTTCTTGTGGTTATCGTTCTATTACTCGGTTCCCTCGCATATTTACCGTGTTTCCCTAACTTCTACATGTCTACTATGTTGTTTTGTTTTGCGTATGTTCGCATGTTCTTCAACATTTCTTGTGTGATAAGAAAAAAAGATTCGTTCATTACCTAACCACGGAGTCATGGATTTTCTGGTGGTTTTGTAGGATATTTGAAGTGTATTTCCTTGTCTCCTTCATGGTTTTGTATCTACTGATTCCATTCCACCGTCCGAGAAGGCTTTTTCCAGTATAGTGCGTTGAGAACATCTACCCATGGTTCGGACCCAGTATTGGACAAGCTATCGACCTCCTATGAAAAAATCTGACAAAGAAGTTCTTTGTGGCGAAATAAATCAGAAAAAAGCATGTGCATTGAAATATAGGTCAACGATCCGTAGTTTGCACAAACACGCATGTTGAGAACAGTGCGCTCATTTGTTGTTGCATGAAATGTATAAATGTAAATGTTAGGCTTTTGATTAAGTTCTGAGCTCATTTTTGCCACAAAGACAACACGATCACTATTTCAATATTTATAAATTATAATGGGTACAAAACATGAAGCTCGAGACTTCTGTTTTTCAAGCAGTACAATTTTAATGCAGTTACTTTTTAACCATTGTGTACATTATGTATATATATATATATATCCTTGTGGTTGCGTTCAACACAGTACTCTGCCATAAAAAAGGATAGGCATTAGTAAAACTTAAGACATTGCATTGTGACTTCGACTGCAGGTTCAGCTCATCTCAGTTCAGTGTCGATTTGTGCTTGCCAGGCCATTCTTTTGAAGGGTGATTTTTGATAGCACCGATAGAGTAAAAAATTGGTTGAGAGAAGGGCAAAACAAAGAACTCGTTTGGTGTAGTGGATAAAACGTGAACTTAGGGTAAGGATAATCATAGGTTCGAAACTCAGCTGAGGTTCCGAGCTTTGCTCATATCTTCGCATCGTTGTGGCTATATAGCTTAATTGCGGGTCATTAAAGCGGTAACACAATTAGATGAAAAGTTTGATACTTCGCTTTCTTAAAACAGAACCGTTGCAGAATTCAATGCAGATCAAAGTGAGTAACAATTGTACAATTGAATATTACAAAGTGATACATATTAAAAAGAAGCACTGATTTGCACTGTTTTTTCGGTTTCGAAAGGTTTAAGGAACTTTGTAAAATTTTTAAGAATGCACAGTGTACAATGTAGGTTATAAAATAACACATTTAGACGGAAAATTTGGTACATAACATTGTCGATCGTTTCCGTAGACGTAAAATATGCCCTTTGTGTTGCCGAGAGTGTAGTAGACCTTACAGACCGGAATCGCTAGCAAGCAATGTCGCTGCTAAAAAATCAACTTCTAGCCGTTTCTTAGTTTTTTTTGTGCTTATCTCAAATATATATATCTTAGTTCATCTTGTATTGTAAACGGATAAAGTGAAACGATAAAGCACTCAACATTGAAGAACTTCTGGAGAATGTACCACGAATTGGGCTCCGTTCGTAATATCATGTTGGTGGTTCATTTAATATTGCTTCTATACAGTGATTCGCCAAGACCTACCGATGTGTCAAATCAAGACTTATATCTCCTTAGACAGGGATTATACCAATCTTCGAAACCCAGAAAGATGAAGGCTTGGTGAGTCCTGAGTGCACGATTGAACATTTTAGTGATTCTGTGTGTATTGCAGGGCACATAACCACTCGCATCATATGCGCCTGTATTGAACTTTCTCAATCGAAAATATCACTGGAATCTACATATTCTTACTAGGTAGATATAAATTATATTACGGTAAAATTCTGGATAGTTGGAGTCCATGAAGATTCTGAAGATTGAGTTGACTGAGTCTTTAAGCATATTAAAACACTAGTTATAAAGTACTTCGAATACTTAAAATTTCTATAAAGAGACGCATGTCCAGTTTACTGTACCAGCTAGTTGGTGACATTAGGACGGTTTGAGCCGAGTTCCGTACATGGTTATATGGTACCCAATCACAAAAGAGAAAACGCTTTCTTACTTTCTTCTTCAACTCACAGCTACATGACAACTAGGATGATTTGCTTTCACAGTGACTATTAAAAAATACGGTGTAGTTTTCAAAAAGGAGCACGCAGTGCACCGATCGGAGATGTTTTGCAATATTTTGTTTTTTGATTGTTTTCCAGGCTAACCAAGCTCTCTATCATTCCGAGGCCTGAATATTAGTACCAGAAATTTCCAAGACTGATTTTCTCCTAACCTCGGCACTGACAGATAATTCGCTACTTTCTTGATAGGCATACACGAGGTTGCTATCGTATAATATTTATTCACAACAGGTCACGCTTCGACGAATTCCTTCTTTAGAGCCTGGAAAGGTTTAGTTGTCCACAATCTGGTCAACCAAATACCTCCATAACCTCAACAGTTGCACATAACGGAGATTTTGAAGTAGAAGTAACCACCCTCGTAGGAGAATTCAAAACTTTAACACGTTAAATCTTCAAGGCATTCTGGTTAAATTCCGAGAATCCAAGAATTAACCGTAGGGAGGTGTTGTCACGCTAGATCTAAAACGCTGATGTTTTGACATGAGAACGGCTCATACCAATCAATGAGAATTCTGTACTCTTGGTCTCCACTTGGAATACTCAGTTGAAGACATAGAGAACAGTGAGTGTGTGAGGTAGCTACTTTGTTTCTAATGCGATTGAAATCTAAGTATCGTGGTTCCTTTCTCGAAGTTATGGAGGTGTTTGGCCGACCAGGTTGCCTAACTTGACCTTCCTAGGCTCTAGAAGTGGTGAAATGTGCCGAAACGTCAAATGAGTGTTGTGAATAAATACTATGTAATAACCACCTCTTGTGCCTTATTAGCAAGGTAGCGAATTATTGCTAGCAGATATGTCCGTAAGGGCAAAGAAAACACACACTTGATACAACAGTAGGTCTCCTTATGTCATTGTATAGGCTCAATACGCATTCAATTCAATCATCCATAAGATGCTGCGAATGGTGGCGAAGGGATGTTGCGTCGTCAAGGGATTTATGAAGGCGTAGGTCTTGACATTTGTCACCCTTTTTTCATTATTTACTTAATTCTCGATGCGAGGATGCCAACCCAAAAGATTGGATTAAATACTATCAAAGTCATATTAATTAATTTAGCAAATAGGAGCCTTTGCAAAATCATTTGGTCAAATAGCTGCGTTATCCAATCTTTTCTGTGGAATTAATCAGACATCACTTGGTCTTTTTCGGCCTAGAGAAAATAGATAGATAGATAGATAGTTTACGTGAAACAATAAAATGAATAGGTATAGTTCACAATACAACAACTTGAATTTCATGAAACAGGACTCCGATCATGCTGCTATTCGCTACGAAGTTAAATCTCGTGTCTAATCAACGGGAAAACAACGAGACCTAGGTGATGACTGTGATTTTTCACTGGCATTCCGAATTCGGCCGTAAAAAGAGAAAAGAAGCATGCAATTACCTACCCGTATCACTCTGCACATTCCCATGTAGTTCTGTAGGTGCTGCGCGCAGCATAGTTTGCTATTCTCATTCACTTCCTGTACGTGATATTTGCTGATTGGAAGCACCTAAGCTGTTAGCTAGAAAAGAAGACTTAGAAAATCGTCGAATTTTCACCATATCCCTGATCGAGCGTTTTCGAAATCATCTATAACCTCTGTATTCCCAATAATCACCGATTAACCTAAGCATGCACCAGATTGCTCCAGAGGGCTTCGCTCGTCTAAGAAAAGTTAGGAGTAGCTCGTTGAGCTACGCCAACGTGTACCTCTAACCATCGCCTGGGTCTCCATAGATGGATTTATCGAATCGTTTCCTCTCTTGGATGATTCTGTTTGTGGAATGAACTTTCAACAGTGTAATAACCATGAACTAACCCACACCTATGATATGGAAAGCGGACTTTAGGCAACATTTTAAATCAACAGCAAATTAACGAGGTCGCTATAGGTAGTTGTTAGCAACTGTATGAATTCTGACCGCAAATTCTCATTCACGACCACACAGCTACACAAAAAGACCATCACTGCTAAATTGCCATTTAATGGACGGAACTCAAAAAAACAACAAATCACTGGGCGAATGGCTTCGACCGTCGATATAAAATCACTCACGGAGTGTAAATAAATTCTTTGTAGCACATGAGTGCTATCTCTAACTTGAATAAAGCAATGATATTTCTAGCATTAAAGACTTACAAATGGTTGTTCCTCGCTAAAAATTTCCTTCCCTTTGGCATTTATGAGCAATTTTTCCGGGACTTCACATTCCGTGAAAAACTCAGATCGTTCAGTTTTGCTGAAAACTACCGCTTATTACCAAATGATAAACGGAAATTGGCACAGATGTGGTTCGTTGACTGTTAGCTGATTAAATCGTAAAGACCATCCACTCGCGCACTATTGGCTAATACATTAGTCTACACTATACACATTCGTTATCATCAGTGACTTCCTAAAATGTCACAGAAGTGAGCCTTCTTGTAATTTTTATAAACTTAATGTGCTTTGAAATGGGTTAATACGTATTGATGGGTAGATGGGTGCAAATTTGTTGGTTAGCTCAGCACTCGCGATAAACCAATGTCTAGGTATGCATTGAAAGATATCGGCAACCACTGTGCAAACTATGTCCTTTGGTTTTATTAGAGTGAGTTAAAGCGAACTTACAAGTGTACTTTCAGTTTTGTATAGTTACGAACACTGCCTGTCCCACAACATGCTGTACACGGTTTTTTTCCACCACCTTTACAGTGATGACATTCTTTAACACCTCGTCCATGACACATGTAGCAAAGATCGTGAGTCCCTGGAATAATATCTCGAGAAAACTAGGTCTAAAATATTTACATGATGTTCGAAAACATGATGATCACATATACATAAATTAGATTCATATGAATTTTCGAAAACACCATGATTCATTCAATCCATCGACCTATCATACTTATATGACCTAACTAGAAGACGAGTAGTGCAGCGACAGTGATGCAGTTCATTACGGATACTGTACTAGCCCTAGCCCGTCCCGGATCCACCAAGCCAATTTTCATTCCGGAATCGGGAAAGTGGTGCCATAGTTGTCTGGGATCACCGCACATCCTCCGATCCATGTGGGAACGCTCTAGCATTGCGTTTCCAGGACTCCAGAGGGAATCGACTCGACCAGCATTCAACGACATTCATGAAGAAGGCGAAAGTCCTCAAGCAGCAAGCGAATTAGCACGCAGAACCTCGAAGACTTTCATGGATGATGAATGCGTCTAAACGTCTAGATTACAATAAGTGCCAGAGTGCCCACAGCAGACGTAAGGAAAGGTTATGTAGAATGTAGAATAGAATGAATGGCTTCACATAATGGGCGAATCCAAGCACTTATTTGATTCGGTCTGCTGTTTCGCATCCACTACCAACGAGGGTTTATGAATTTCCGTGTGGATTTGTCTAAAACTTGAAAACTTCGTCTTCTTCATGGACGTCGATAAATCCCAGTTGAAACAATTCCCAGGATCGACTTCTTATTAACCTCGGCATTGGATTACAAGTCTGTTGTTTTCTTTCTCAGCAATCGCGAGGTTGTTAAACAGCATACGTTTACTTCCGTATAATAACACACATACAACACGATCGTAGCTGACGTTTCAGTAGAATCACTTTCTTTAGAGCCTTGAAGAGTATACTGATATACAATTTACTAGACCAAACGCTTCAATAACACATACAGAAAGATGGGAATCTAAATGGTAGTCACATGGTCAATAGCTTCTCGAAAAACACAACGTTTTTCACGTGCCTTCCACTGAGGAAGAGCCGCTGATCAGCGTCGCATATGGTTGACGGCTGCACCTCCCCATATCAACGATCGATACAAAGGTACGGGGCGAGATTACGGATGAACTTGGGGCATTCCTCTCTGCTGTTCATTGTAGGGTTTTTGTTATTTATCCAAAAAACCTCAAGAAGCTTACGCGCTGGTGTTTTGGCATCCTGTGCGAGGACAGTGACTTTTATATCAAAATCGTCTCCGCTATGTTTTTGTATCCTTTGCGTCCCTAGTGGGGTACTTTGTCTTGCTTTTCGTTTGCCATCTAGGTTTTTTATGCGGATACATAAAGGTCTGCCCGTTTCGCCAATATATTCGTCTCCGCAAGTATTACAAGAGTTCAAGTATATCGTACCTGAACTCATGCAGTCACCGTCCATTCCATAAGGACAAATTACGCAATTCTGTGTTTCACATAGACGGTCGTATAGGTGGTTTTGCAATCCCAGTTGAGTTAATTCTTCCTGGAATCTTGGGATTGGCATGGTGGGGATCTCCAGATCTCTAACACATAGAAAGCCACCCATAATCGCAGATCGGACAGAGCTCCTACCTAGAGTAGTTTGATAGCAAATTGCCGGTCGCGGACAGAAGGGAGGCTTGGTTGACCGGAGGCTGGGTCGAAACAGCGAACATACGTGTATTATTGCACGATATCTTTAATCTCTGCGCTACCCTCGCATCGGTCCGATTTGTGCAGAGCTTAAATACTAAATAAAAAAGCTTTTAAAATTTCAGGATAAGGTGAATATAACTTTGAATACGTGTAAGCGAAATAAGTGGACTTTTTAATATAGTTCCAATGTCGTTGAAGTCGATCTGATTTGACGACTTTGTAATGCAAAACGTTTACACAGGAGAATCACTGCATCTGCAGGCAGTTCTTCGTTTTCAGCTCCGGATCGCAAAGAAGTGCACTACCTAGTCCGGGTGGTGGTACTCCAGTCTTTGACATGAAATGCATCGGTGTGCCGAGACCGTAGACTTGATGTGCACCTTGTCGAACCATCGCCGTCGACGATGACGAATATCCACGACTGAGATCCGCCTAAAAAACAACTTCAACCACAAAACCTGTCCTGATGGAGCTTCACAATAGTGTCAAGAATCTATTATACAAAGATTGCTAAAATTTGGCAGTGTACTTCGCAGATTGAAACGTATAATGTGATAGCCGCTTCTTTGGGAGAAAAAGAAAGCGAGTTTTCTACTCTTAGTTTACTTATGGTCTCTATCAGGATGCAAAACAACGAATCCAAAAACCGTAAAAATGGACCGTCATTACGTCATAAAAGCATGACTTCTTTTCTAATCAAAGCAAAAGCAACTTAAACCCTTAGAATTTCCTTAGATCTCTTCAAAACTAAAAAGCCGGGATGTTTGAAAGCAAATATAATGATGAAGGTAGCTGTTTTTAAATTCTGATGAGTTCTAATGAGTTCAAAATCATTTTATGAGAGAGGGTAAGGAGGCTTTTAAATTGTTAATTAAACTGGAAGGGACGTCAAGTGAAGAAGGTGTCTTAGTTTTCTTAGAACCATTTTAGAAAGATTTGCTTTAATGTGTTTCAGAAGTTGCATAGTTTTATCTTATTGCAAGAAAATCCCAAAAAAAAGCGAAAGGTCTTTCATTCTCTCAGCCTTAAAGAAATTGAAAATAACCATATCACCTCATGTTCTGCCGATTGTGAACGTGAAAGCTCTTTACGCCTACAATGTTGAATGATAAGAGCTCGATAAATGACGAACAGAAACCTACATGAGGAAACGTAGCCACCATTGGATGTGTGTAGACTGCAGGATGTGCTACACCGGATTTCATACCAGTACCTCTGAAAGAATAAAGAAACAAATCAAAAACAATATGCGTAAAGTTATTTAATTGTTAACTACTGATTGCTTTTCGTAAAGTCATTAATGCCTTCTCCTAATTACCGAGTTTTTGAATAATCTTCAGTTGGAGTTCAAGAGTTATAACTAACTCTCTACTTATAAACCAGATCGCATGTGGGTATTGGAGTGATTGTAGACTTCTTATGATACATGCGTAGTTGTTGGTTGGACCCTGCTGCGCGCCAACGAAGAACAACAAGTGGAGTCGGCAGATTGGTATGGACCTGTCTGGGAGAAACTCCATCAGATCCATAAAGAAAACTACTGCCTCTGTGATGAAGATATAGGAGAACTCTAATATAGGCATCCGAAGATTCCAAGGAGAATCAACTCGAATGGAATTGAACGACATTCACGAAGACGAAAATTAATGAAAAGACAATGTCCTCGAATTGCACTGTAATCTGCGCACAAATCTTTAGACGTTCATGGATGTCGAATACCGGACAATAAACGGAATGAAAGAAATGCTGGGATTTGCACAATATATAAAATCGAGTCATAAGAATAAATTTAATGAGTGCCTTATTCTACAGAGTGCAAAGGACGACCCTTATAATTTTCGTGAGATTTTTGCATAATCGTAAACCTCATACATGAGTAGAATACTTGAAACTTGATACTTGAACGGCTCGTCCTCACTGGTTGTGCTGCCATCGAGCATAATCTCCACTTTTCGGAGATTTGCTGGCTAAGCCATTGTAGTTCCCTGGAATCTCGGGGACAGCCTGACCAAAGTCTGCCCCAGATCGTCACCATCACAGGCAGTCGCGCCACTTGTCGATCAGAGGGAGATTTGCCACCATGCGAGTTTAATACCAGGGCGGTGGTTAATCCTGGTATTGATTTACTCTTAGCTAGGCGTCCTGATGGAAACCCGTACCCCTTCTCAGCTTGAAAGATCCTGCTAGGGGGATGAATCTCCCGCTGTAGATCGCAGTCCGATAGCCAGGAACACCTCCAAGCCACGAGGAGGCGGTAAACCGTTGGGAGGTCTATGAGTACAATACCGTAAAAAGTACTGGCAAAGGCCTCAACAAAAAAAATAACGAAATAAAATTGCTCACCTGCAAAAATTACATTTGTCGGTGCCGTATCCACGGCAATAGAAACAGTGATAGGTGCCTTCAGAATTACAAGCCGAGCATGGGTTAATCGTACTAGTACATGGCATTTCGATTATACGGACCTAAGACAAGAATTCTCGTTAATTTCTTTTTTAATCGCCTTTCGGTACCTCACTTTCCCCAGCAGTTCTTGCCTTGCATTAATAAATGTCGAAAGTCATTATTTTTATCAATAATATTGTTGTTACCGTTACCATTTGATTGGCAGATGATAATGTCGTCAACCAACACCAATAATGAACGGTTATAAAGAATATTCTTCATAAAATAACGTATGCCGTCCATCAGTTCTCAATCAAATTCACATAAACATTTTGCACAAGCTATTCCATCGCTATCTAATGAAATTGCTGCAGAAGCTGTTGTATCGCCTTCACGTGAACTTTGCACGCAGAACAATAAGATGGCACTGACTGAGAAAATTCCAAGAATCTCATTCTGAGCATGAACTCTTGATTCCATTACCAATATTTCACTCATTACAGAAGGTGTGTAAACACCAACACCACTAGTCATCCGTCAGTTCGCTCAAGTGGTGCTCTCTCTGTTTCTATCTTCTTATTACCTTCTCATTTCACGCAGTGGAATTCGAGCACCGCGCTCTCTACAAGCACAAGTAGCCTTGACCACAGTTGCACGTTATGCCTTTCCCACTCCATTCATCGATGTCTCGGTTACTTCTTATAACATGATACAGTTATTATTCATATCACTTTTCCATTCTATTATGTGAGCCACTCTTGGTACCAACCATTTAGTCTCATCTCCTCACATGCCGCCACTTGCTACTCAGTATTCTTGGTTGAATTATCTATATGGAACTTCTTCGTCATTATGTCACCAGTCTACTGCTGAAGCTACTGCAATAATTTCTTTGCAGTTTCTTGCACCTTTGTTCATTTTGCTTGTTCATTCTATTGTCGTCTTGAAGCTCATACTGTTTACATTTCTTAATATCATCATCTCGTTAATCGTATTATTACTACTATAAAGAGTTTAATTGCCCAAAATTGAGATTTTCTCTGAAGCGACAACAAACATTTCTGGGTGGCAAATTAATAAGACGTCGAGCACTCCATCTCGTACTGGTGAATACTCAGTATCGACATCTCACTAGAACTACTGAATTTCACGGAGCTCATGTGATCACTACATTTCTGGAGCATTGGCCGTCATTATATTGGTCGACGGCTTGTAGTATTCGTTCATGTTAAGCTGTTAACCAATAGGAAACTATTCACAACAATCCACAACGACCAATCACATGAGGAGAAAGGGTGTTATTGATTAACATTGGGCAAGGGAGTGTGAACAGACTCGCTATGGAAAGCATTAGTTGTAAAACATAACTCTAGAGAGATGACTGAGGAATTATAATTGACAAAGAATGAACGGAGATAATAATGAAAAAGTTCAAGAATGTACCTGATCAATGAACAGCTTCGTAGGCAATACTTCATAGTCCCATGGATTTGCGACCGACGTTGTCGCCTGATCATACAACTGACCAGGCGCCACCGCTTCCGCAGCTTCAGAAGTTGAGCGCGCTTCAGTGAACGACTCGAGAATGTACTAAACATAGAAACTGTTCAGATTCATAGCAGTTATAATAGAACTATATTCATAACAATAGACCTAGATGGAGATATAACACTAACGAACCGTTTAGGACATTTCTAATAAAGCATTTCTTTTTTGTTTTTCAAGATCACTTGAATACACAGAGCGAAAAGCCGCCTGATTTATTTTAACCTCCACCAGCTTAGAATAAAGTAACCTCATGCCACAGCTCAGCATGAACTACTGTTCTTTAATGAACGGTCGATTTCTACGCTAGCTTTCCAGAGCGTGGTGGTGAAACGTGCTCCTCAACACGCTCTTGGTTCGATCAGTTGTTACCTGGCCAAACTTTAAGAGTCAACAAGTTGGCATTAGAGTAATCCGAGAGAAAACACTAACTTTACGCATCGATAAACATTCAAGTCATTGCATAGGGCAAATATAGACTTAACTTCCTCGTTTAATGGAAGCCTACTGTTATTATCTTAACTCTTTTATTTACTGCCTTTTTCTTCTTAATGGCAGGGTATGTTGTGAAATATAACTCGTATGAAATGCTGAGATATTTGCAAAACTCCGGACCACAGGTGTATGCAGTGGAGAACGAACACGCGCTGTTGTCCTTACCGGGGAGCAGCGCACTTCACCACTACACCATCCGGGTCCTTCGCCTTGCATGTAT